ATGTGTATGTGTATGTGTATGTGTATGTGTATGTGTATATATATATACATATACTAGATGGATAATATGAGAATTTATACAAACTATAAGTGAGGACTATGGAGATGAAGCACAAAAGACTTGTAACCAACCGACACACTGTATGTAACTGGAAGATGGTTTTATGTTTTGTTTGTCTGTTTAAAATAAAAATTTTAATCAAAAAAAAAACTCACTTAAACAAATGTTTTACTTAGCAATGGAAATTTTGCACTTGATTGTGGTTGTAAGTCAAGGGGCCTGTGGTTGGGTGGGGAGCTTCATTGTCCACTTAGAAATCAGCGTTGAATAGCCTCCTTGGAAGTTACTCGCAGTAGATTCCTGCCTGAAATCGATTCTTACCAAAGGAATCACTGCTAGTAGGTAGAGAACTGACGCTTGTGAATCAGTGGGACGTCTCGTTACCCTCATTTGCAGCAAATTAGGTGAGGATAGTGTGGTCATGAGAAAGGGGGTAGATCATTTGGGCTTACCGTTCCTTGTTTCTTTGATTCCCGCAGCGCCGGAAATGAACGAGATTATCACCGTCAGCTTGATGACAAGTCCCAGCCCTGTGATGGGGGCTGCTACTAGACCAACAGGTGAGATCCCAGAGCTGGGAGGATCTTCCTGTGAAGCACAGTTTCTGGACCCTGGTCACTTTAAGACGTGTGGACTTCAACTCCCAGAATTCCCCAGCCACCAGAATATATTACGTCGACTGCATTCCCACTATCTATTAAGAAAATTATCCTATCCAAAAATGCAATGAAAGTAGTTGAACCAATTGTGGCTAAACTACCTTCATCGCATTTTAGGGTAGGATAATTTTCTTAATAGATAGTGGCAGGGGTGGGCTTCACATAATTTAACAACCAGTTCACCTAGTGCAGAACTGAAAATAACAGATAATAGATAATCAGAGTTGGAAGGGACCTTGTAGGTCATCTAGTCCAACTCCCCCCCCACCCAAGCGGGAGACCCTACACCATTTCTGACAAATGGCAGTCCAATCTCTTCTTGAAAATCTCAAGTGATGGCGCTCCCACAACTTCTGAGGGCAACTTCTGTTCCATGGGTTGATTGTTCTCACTGTCAGAAAGTTTTCTCCTTATTTCCAGGTTGAATCTCTCCTGGATCAGTTTCCATCCATTATTCCTTGTCTGGCCTTCGGGTGCTTTAGAAAATAGCTTGACCCCTTCCTCCTCTCTGTGGCAGCCCCTCAAATATTGGAAGACCTCTATCCTGTCTCCCCTGGTCCTTCTTTTCCCTAGATTAGCCAGTCCCAGTTCCTGCAACTGTTCATCGTAAGTTTTAGCCTCATCATCCTGGTTGCTCTTCTCTGCACTTTTTCTAGTCTCAGTATCTTTTTATAATGTGGTGACCAAAACTGGATGCAGTACTCTAGGTGTGGCCTTACTAAGGCTTTATAGAGTGGTATTAGTACTTCCCTTGATCTTGATTGTATCCCTCTGTTATTGCAACTTAGGATTGCATTAGCTTTTTTGGTTGCTGCTATACACTGCTGGCTCATATTTAGCAGGTTGTCCACGAAGACTCCAAGATAATGTAAGTGCGCGGCTTCAAACACATAGTGATATAAATTGCACGGCTTTCAGTAATCCTTGGGCAGCCACAGTGAGTAGAGCGGGCGTGGGTGGGGCAAGCAAGCCAGAGAGTGAGATATATAGGATGGGATAGCACCAGGGCAGAACTACCGGTACAGGCGAACCAGTCCGAACTGGCAGCAGCCCACTCTGGATAGCGGGAATGCGGTCAACATAATATATCTTGATTTTAGCCAAGTGGAAAAAAGAGCTGGCTGGGGAAACTTCTGGGAGTGGAAGTCCATGCGTCTTAAAGTGTCCAAGCTTGAAAAATCCTGCTCTGAAAGAGGTCTAGGAGACAAGGATTATGGGTGTGTAGTGATAACGTCATGGAGTTTGTGGTCCCTTGGTAGAAAGGCCTGATGGAGAGATCGTAAGTACCCAGCAGATCTGATACTCCCTGATCTACCGTAGTGTTGTTCTTTGAAAGCCGATGGAGATACTGTTCCAACATGGTCCCCTCGTTGTCTTCTCCACATGGCAACTTGTGGATGCCACGATCCTCGTGGTAATGGATAATCCTCGACTTACAACCACAATGACTTAATGATGGAAATTCTGCTCCTTGTTGTGGTCTCTCATGACATTTTTTAACCAGTTTTTTTTTTTTGGGGGGGGGGGAACACCATTGGTTAAGATGACCATGTGTTTCTCTTAAAGACTGCAGTGTCTCAGTTTATGACTGCTGTAAAAGTAGTTGTAAAATCAAGTCCGGTCATATGATGACACAACGTACAACCGCAATGACATAGGATGGATATTGCAGTCCCAACTGTGGTAATTTGTGACTCCCCACCCCACCCCTGTTTTCAACAACAACAAACACCATTGGTTAAGCTGGATTCACACTTACGACCCTATGCTTCACTTAACAACTGCAGCAACTCAACTTATGACCCCTGTAAAAATGATTGTAAAATCTGGTTGTGTGATGATTCGATTTAACTACCACAATGACAGCCAACAAAAATTCCAGTCAGCATTATGGTCGTAAGTCAAGGACCAGCCGAATCAGATCACGGGAAAATCAGAAGGATCAATTCAATTAATATTGAATTTAATATTGGTTTTGGTTTTCAGAGGATTTTTCTCTTTGCGTGTCCATCTCCTATGCGGGCGAACCGCCCTGCAGATACTTGTTACCGGAAGGCGAATATCTCTTTACGTCGGACGCAGAATCGCTGAATGGTCCCAATTGTTTGAAACGTTTTGTTTTAACGGCCCCAGTTACAATGGCCGATGAGCTGAAGCAAGAGATCGTTCAGCGTCTGCTCAAGGATTTGGTAAAAGGCATCATGGTGGCCAGTAACCATGGAGGGATCTTCATTTTTTGCCGGGATAAAGTCTGTGTCTCGTGGTCAGGATTTTTGGCCCCCGAGGGCCAAATCAAACTGGAGAATAACACTCACCAGCAGCTGTTCAAATCCCAGGAATTTCGATCAGGTGAGAACGAGGCAAACTGAACAAAACAGTCCATCTTGTTTCCATGTAAGCTCACAAAAAAAAAAGGGGGGGTTATAACTATTCCTTGACTTACAACCATCCATTTATCCAACATTCAAAATTAACGCTGGCACTAAAAAGAGACTTTTGATAAACCCTCGTACTTATGACCGTCGTAGCATTCCCCAGTCATGTGGTCTCTGTTGTACAACAGTCCTTTTAGTGACTGAAGTTACAACGGCGCTAAAAAAAGTGACTTAGAACCGTTTTTTTCACAATTAATGACCATTGCAACATCCCAGTAGTTATGTGATCACTATTTTATTTAAAGTTTTTATTTTATAACATATAAAAATTCTAATTTCAATTGAACAGTGTGTTGACTGGGTCCATATAGTGTTAGGAAATAATAATCAAAATGTTTATGATAATATTCATTACATTGATATTAATAGAATAGAATAGAATAAAATTCTTTATTGGCCAAGTTGATTGGACACACAAGGAATTTGTCTTGGTGCAAATGCTCTCAGTGTACATAAAAAGAAAAGATACATTCGTCAAGAGTCAAGAATCATCAGGTACAACACTTAATGATAGTCACAGCAATCAAATCATATTAGAAAACAGTCAATAAAAATCGTAAGGATACAAGCAGCAAAGTTACAGTCATACAGTCACAAGTGGGAGGGGATGGGTGGTAAGAAGTGATGAGAAGATTAATAGTAGTGCAGACTTTGTAAATAGTTGGACAGTGTTGAGGAAATTATTTGTTTAGCAGAGTGATGGCATTTGGGAATTATGGTAGTGTTACCCTGTTTCCCTGAAAATAAGACCCTAACCAGAAAATAAGCCCTATTGCGTCAGCAAAAATTAACATAAGACTTGGTCTTATTTTTGGAGAAACACAGTAGTAATAATAATATTATTTGTTTTAACCAATTCAGCATATCTTCCTTATGTCACTGAACCTTTTCATATATTTCCCTGTTTCTAGCTCCTGTTTTTTTCAGCTAGCCATTGATAAAATAAGTTCCAAGTCAGAAAGTATTCAGTTTCTTTCTTTACCTTGATTATAAGTATTAGTCTCTCCATTTCTGCACATTCTAATATTTTTTTAATTCCATGTTCATCAGTTGGGATCTCTTCATTTTTCCATTGTTGCGCTAATACAATTCTGGGTGTAGTCAGTACATGTATAATCAAATATGTATTCCCTTTATTATATTTATCTGGGAAAATGCGCAGCAAAAATATCTCTGGTTTCAAATCAATATGCTGTTTTATCATTTTTCTCCAGGTAGTTATGGATTTTTGCTCAATATTTTGAACATGATCACAATTTAGACGCTTAACCACTGGTTCATATTTATGACGTCCTGGGGTCATGACCTTTGCAATCTTCTGACGTGTTACTCACTTAACTGCCATGACTCACCGAGTGACTGTGGCAAGAAAAGTCATAACATGGGACCAGACTCACATAACAACGGTCTGGATTAGCAGTGGGAATGTTGGGCTCGATTGTGGTCATAAGGCAAGGACTACCTGTATTGAACTCAGTGTTTGTCCAGTGTCCATCTTAACAAGTGTTTCTAGCTATAATTTCCAGCTCATATCCATGTCCTAAGATATGTAGCAACTTCAGGAGGTTTTCAACTTACGGCCGTTTGCTTAATGACGGTTTGAAATTGCGACCGGCTTGAAAAAAGTCGCAATCTAGGATTCAGATTAGAAATGCCTCAAACCATGGCACTGCCCCTAGCCATTACTGGACTGCTGTCAGAAATGGTGTAGGGTCTCCTGCTTGGGCAGGGGTGGGACTAGATGACCTACAACGGTCCCTTCCAACTCTGTTAAATCTGTTAATCATTCTGTGATTGCAATTTGGTGACTTGACAACTAGCTCACCTTTTGCGATCAGATTGCCATTTCGTGGCTTTTATTTTATTCCAATTTTCTGCACAATAAACACCATTGGTAAGCTGGATTTGCACTTATGACCAACGGATTCACTTAATGATAATGGGATTCACAAATTTGACAGCGGCTGAAATGGTGACCGCCGTAAATCAAGCGTGGTCATACGTGCATATGTGGTTAGAAAAAACGTTAAAGCAGCATATAGATTACAAACCAGAATTATTTTTGTTAGGCATATCACCAGAGAAATACGATAAAGGGTATGTATATTTAATATTACATATTCTGAATGCAGCAAGAATGGTAGCTGTGCAACACTGGAAAAATGAGGAAACACCCACAGAGGAAGAAATAGTTAAAAAAATATTTTAGACTGTGCCAGAAATGGACAGATTAACATTGACGATAAAAGAAAAAGGAGCCACAGAATATTTTCGAACTTGGGACCTGTTTTATCAATGGTTGGACAACAGAGGTAGAAATTAGAAGTTTAACAATGTCACATAAACGAATTTGACTCAGACAGTACACTGTTTGCTAAGCACTTATTGTATACAAAGAGAAAAGGTATAAATATAAAAACAGGTGCGGTTCTGTGGTGACTCGACTTAATCACCACCGTGAAAATTTGGGCCCTTTCACTGTGGTCGTAAGTCAAGGACTACCTGTACAGAGGTGGTATTCAGCCAGTTCAGACCGGTACTGGCGAACCAGTTGTGGAAATTTTGATTAGTTCGGAAAACCAGCAAATATCACCTCTGGCTAGCTCTCCTATACAGTAGAACCTCGGGTCGCGACCATAATCCCTTCCAGGACTACGGTCATGACCCGATTTCATTGTAGCTGGAAGCACAACCGTCTACACATTCCCCTACAGTTTTGCGCATGTGCGGAAGGGGAAATCGCCACGACTGTACTGATCGGCACCCGAGGATCTGTTCACAACCAGAAGCAACAATTTTCCCAAATTGTTGGTCGTCACCCGATTTGGTCACGTACAGGAGCATTCACGACCCGAGGTTCCACTGTGTCCCCTTGTTTTTTAGCTCAACTGATCTGCGTGGCAGAGCGGATCGCCGCGCCTCAGCTCAGCTAAAAAACAGCTCAGCTCACGCACCAGCGTTTGGACTGAGCTCCGTCTTCGAGCCCTCGTTGAATTGCTAGTGCTGATCCTTCTGTCTCAAATTCACAGCGCTGGAGCTATACCAGGAAGGCCTGGGACCACTCCCGGATCCCCGAGTCATTCTCTACGTGGGAGATGAACTGGATGAAAACGGAGGTAGGGGCTGCAAGCCCATCATCATTCAGGTGAGGAAAAGGGGAAAATATTTCGCCAAGTACAAAATACAAACATAAAAAAAAAAACACAAAATACTTTGTTTTTGTTTTGATTTTGTAAAAAAAATAAAATAAATAAAATAAATTGGAGCTTATATTTTAAGTTTCTGAAGAAAAATAAGAATTTTTGCTAACAAACACACACACACACACACACACACACACACAGAGGTAGACGTGTGGTCCTTGACTTACGACCATTCAGTGAGTGACCGTTTAAAGTTCCAACGGCACACTAAAAAAAGAGGCATGGCCGTTTTTCACGCTTTCAACCTCCCCGTGTTCAAAATTCAGACACTTGGCCGCTGACTCATATTGATGGTGGTCGCAGTGTCCCTGGATCCCCATTTGCGACCATCTGAAAGCCAGATTCACTTAACGACTGTGTTTTTCTAACTTAAAAGCCAGAGAGATTCCACTTTACAACTGTGGCAAAAACGGTTGTTAAAATGGGGCAACCCCCCCCCCTCACTTTGCAACTATCTTGCGTAGCCACAGAGATTTTGGGCTCCATTGTGGTAGTAAGTCGAGGACTACCTGTATTGCACATTGGTGTTGAAGCGCCATGGAAAGGGGTTTTTTGTGTGTGATGCCAGAGCCGAGTGAGGCTCATTGTGGTTGATCAGTGGCTGGAGAAAACATCTCTGTGGTTTTTTGAATTCAAGACTGGAGCCTATGGTCCACAGATGGAAACACAATAAGAATTTTATGGACAGGCATTCCAAAACCAATGCATGTGGGTGGACAGGGCTGTGGAACATGGGAGTGAAAGACTTGTTATGTTCCCTGGGTCGCTTCTGGATTCCTGGATTCTGACATTTTGGGCAGGGCTGAGGGAGCATTTTGTGGTGCTTCAGCCACTTTTTAGCTTTCGAGAAGATGGGAAGTGGATGATGGGACTGTGTACCTCCAATATCCCTTGGGTGTCATTGAGAAAGCATAGAAAAGCACCCTGAGTTGATAGAAAGCTATTATGGGATGGGCATGTATTCTAGAAAGGAACGGAGACAATAATCCTGGATAATCATGGAGAAACCACCATTGTATAGTAGTGGTTTAGGTGTGCTGATCTATAAACCAGGAGACAGTGAGTTCTAGTTCCGCCTTAGGCATGAAACCCAGCTGGGTGACTTTGAGCCAATCGACAGGAGATAGTGAGTTCTAGTCCCATTATTGGTATGAAAGCCAGCTCTGTGACCTTGAGCCAGTCATTACGAGACTGTAGCTTCTACTCCTACCTTAGTCATGAAAGCTGGCTGGGTGACTCAGAACCACTCACCAGGAGACTGGGAGTTCTAGTCTCACTTTAGGCATGAGAGCTGGCT